CCCCAAAACCCCAAAACCCCAAAACCCCATCAGGTCTAATTTGGTCATTGGAAAGATAATTAGTTAAATGTATGTAATCAAATAAATAATTTATGAAAGTAAAGTTAGCATCATTTAGTGAGGAAATTAAAAGTAGTAAATGATGCTGATAGGAGTAGAATCAAATTAAGATATACCTATTCGTTGACTGGTTCTTTACTTTGATTAAATAAAATACCTACACTTACTGCTGCTATTACCATAGCAAACGACCTAACATTCAAGATTAACTTTTAAGATTCTAGTTAGGCCTTTTCTTAATGAAAGAAATCTGATTTTACTACTTATTATCTTTAGAATGAATCCAAAGTGTCATCTAAATTTGATAGCACATATCTAGCACTTGCCATTAGTAGTACCTAATAAACAAAAGCATAATTTTAGGGCAATAGATTGTAATTATTCTCCAACTTAGGCAAAAATGCAAATGATGTGAACACTGCAATCTCAAATATCAAGCTAAGGTTTACTCTTCTGCAGATATTTTAAGCACATTATCTGTTCTTTAGTTTTAAAAGTTAAATACTGATTGCAAGAACATATGCTCCGAATATTGAGAACTTAGCGAAAAATAATTCTGTATTGCCAGCTTTTACAAACAAGTTAAAGCAAAGATACATGTCCAGATAAAACATAATGTAGTGCTGGGTAAATAAGACTGAAATACCAGCAAACATATTTAAAGAACTGAATAGGACATCACACTGGCTGATATTGATGCAGGAGAAGCTCTCCTAAACATAGTCATTCTCTAGCAACATGTATCTGCGTCTCTACTTCAATTCTTTGGAAGATATTCCTTCAATTTTACCTTTGAAATCCTTTCCTACTCCTTATCCCAGCTGTAAAGTAGTATGCTTTGGGTATTTTTCAGAGAACTGGAAGTATTTTACAGATTGGTTTACTGATCTTGCTCCTTAAAATCTTTCTTTTGTGTTCTGAACATCATTTGCTAAATGGTTCACAGGAGTATCCTCAATAACTATGTCTTCATTTGGATTTGTATTGTATGACAGTAAAGAAGGAGATTTTTTATGGAATTCTCTTTTGTGGGGGAACAGCATATTTTGGCTGCACTATGATTCAGTATCATATTGGAACATTGAGGAATCCTCATAGAAATCCATACAATTTATCCTCTCATAACCTTCATATAATTCTTAGTATTGCATCTTTTGGAGTGTTAAATAAATGAGGTTTAGAAAGGAAAAGAAGACTATTAATCTTAAATAAAGCTAACTTACATATTAGAACGAATGGATATGCTTGTTTATTAAGATGATATGCCAAGAAACAAAAGATTGCACTTGAGAGAAACCCGGCAGCCTCTCCATAAGATTTTGCTAGGCTTAGCTTATTTTACCTTACTTATTTCTTGAACATTGTAATATCCTCTGTTGCAAATATTTATAAGAATCCATTATCTTACAAAAATACTCATTGAAGACTACTGCAAGTGTCGAATTTATGACAATAGAAAAAATCACTGCGTTGATTACGATGTTCCTATATATTATATTAATTTACTCGGTTCAAATTTAGTATATTGATGATAAGAGCCATAAAGAATTGAACTTACAGATTTAACAAGAGCAGGCTAAATATTGATAGTAAACTTCCAGCAGCCTTAATAAATAAACTTTAGATTATAGAAATTTACCATCATTAGATTAAAAGCTATAAAATTAGCTATGTCACTCTTGATGTGCATCATCAGATTCTGCGGCAATATCAAATAGGGTAGAAAACCTCCTCTGTAGAATAATTGCTTAAGATATAAAGGTATTTTACGCAAATAAATAGGCTGTTTTTGAATAGTCAATTGTTTGAGTACTCAGAAAATATGGAATAGTGATGAGTTAGGATACAAGAAGGTTAGTACTCAAGAATGAGATGATTGCAGTCTGTGCTATTTATAACTTTATCATCTTTAATGTATAATAATCCTGCTATTTTCCCATTTAATTTGCTTAATTATTAAATAAACTAAATATATTATTAAAAGGCATATCAAAGCCTTCTTTTATTAGTAAATCTCTTTAATTTAAGCTTTAATTTGATATTAGGGGTTTTGGGGTTTTGGGG